GCTCAAGTTCAGAATGGCTCTCAGTCCAAACCCATACAGAGCTGTGAAGAACAGAACCAGAGCTCTGACCTGATGTATAGCTGTTACTGTCCAGAACCAGAGCTCTGACCTGATGTATAGCTGTTACTGTCCAGAACCAGAGCTCTGACCTGATGTATAGCTGTTACTGTCCAGAACCAGAGCTCTGACCTGATGTATAGCTGTTACTGTCCAGAACCAGAGCTCTGACCTGATGTATAGCTTGTTACTGTCCAGAACCAGAGCTCTGACCTGATGTATAGCTGTTACTGTCCAGAACCAGAGCTCTGACCTGATGTATAGCTGTTACTGTCCAGAACCAGAGCTCTGACCTGATGTATAGCTTGTTACTGTACAGTCACTACGTTCACATTTAGCTGCTTATTACTGCCCAAATTAGCCATTTCCAACCCGTATACGGGTACGAGTGTGTAAAGGGCCACGGCACGGACACACCATTCCAACCCGTATACGGGTACGAGTGTAAAGGGCCACGGCACGGACACACCATTCCAACCCGTATACGGGTACGAGTGTAAAGGGCCACGCCACGGACACACCATTCCACCCGGATACGGGTACGAGTGTAAAGGGCCACGCCACGGACACACCATTCCAACCCGTATACGGGTACGAGTGTAAAGGGCCACGCCACGGACACACCATTCCAACCCGTATACGGGTACGAGTGTAAAGGGCCACGGCACGGACACACCATTCCAGTGTGGGGCTGTTGGCTCCGTGTTGCTGATCTGGGCCCTGTGGGATTCAGCTTACCGTTCCGCAGCAGTGTGGTTACATGTGGTAGTAGTAACTAATCATAACCGTAATGATGTTAACAATACCTCTCCTCAACACGGGATCACTATTCATCCATCCATCCATCACTCCACTCACTCCTAACCAAGCTTCACCCCTACAAGCCCCCATAAACAGAGAGACACACACCTTCCTATACCTGGACATTTGGTAGCCTTCCTCAGTCATCGGTAACATTGTCCGTGTTGTCGCCCCCCCCCCCCCCCCCCCCCCCCCCTCCCCATTTACCCCACAACAGGACAGGAAATTCTTCAAGGGCTTCTTTACAAAAGTAAGTTGTGCTTTGTGTGTCAGTCTGAGTGCCTCTTGTCTCTTTCCTTCACCTTAATATAACCCCTCTGATCACGGCAGACAGGCAACCAGGAACTGTCTGGGACATTACCTCACCAACAAACTACCTGGAGACCTGTGTGTGTGTGTGTGTGTGTGTGTGTGTGTGTGTGAGATCACTTCTTCCTCCATCAGACATGGATTAAGACAGAGACCTGTTTGGTGTGAATGAGTTTGTCTGTTCTGTGTGTTTCCGTCTGGTATTGAACTGGTGGACTATTATATCTATTATATCTTTATTGTCAACTTTCGTTCACCCTTTTCTCCGTTCTCTTCCTCTCTCCAGTCTGGAAACAGTCTTTCCACTTACAACACAACAACACCTACCCAAAGCCTTTCTTTGCAATGTTTGACTTTCGGTTGTTTTCCGTCTTTCCAGCGTGTGATCTGTGTTTATGTCTACGACATATGTGTGTTTGGTATACAGCCACACACAGTACCAGTCAAAAGTTATAGAACCCCTACTCGTTCAAGGGTTTTTCTTTATTTTTACTCTTTCTACATTGTAGAATAATAGTGAAGACATCAAAACTATGAAATAACACATATGGAATCATGTAGTAACCAAAAAAAAAAGTTTCTTCAAATAGCCACCCTTTGCCTTGATGACAGCTTTGCACACTCTTGCCCATATTATGGCAAGAACAGCTCAAATGAGCAAAGAGAAATGACAGTCCATCATTACTTTAAGACATGTAGATTAGTCAATACGGAACATTTCAAGAACTTTGAAAGTTTCTTCAAGTGCAGTCGCAAAAGCCATCAAGCTCTATGATGAAACTGGCTCTCATGAGGACCGCCACAGGAATGGAAGACCCAGAATTACCTCTGCTGCAGAGGATAAGTTCATTAGAGTTACCAGCCTCAGAAATTGCAGCCCAAATAAATGCTTCACAGAGTTCAAGTAACAGACACATCTCAACATCAACTGCGTGAATCAGGCCTTCATGGTCGAATTTCTGCAAAGAAACCACTACTAAAGGACACCAATAAGAAGAAGAGACTTACTTGGGCCAAGAAACACGAGCAATGGACATTCGACTGGTGTAAATCTGTCCTTTGGTCTGGAGTCCAAATTTGAGATTTTTGGTTCCAACCGCCGTGTCTTTGTTTTAGTTTCCCCCCGTTTTAAAACATGGAGGAGGGGTTGTTTGGGGGGTTTGGGGGTTTGCTTTTTAATTCGGAATAACAAGGCCAAAAACCATGGCACCAAAAAACCCCAATCCCCCCCTTTTTTGGGTTATGGGGCTTTTTTTTTTTAAAAGGGGGCCCAAAACCCCCCCCCCCCGGGGGAAGGGTTTTTCCGGGGGTTGGGGGGGTTTTTGGGGGGGGTTTTCCCCCCCCTTCCTGGGGGGGAAAAACCCCCCCCGGGGGGGGGGGGCCCAAAAGGGTGGGGGGGTTTTTTTTTTTCCCGGGGGGTTTTCCCCCCCCCCCTTTTTTTTAAAAACCCCCCCCCTTCAAACCCCCGTTTCCCTTAAAACCCCCCCCCTTTTTTTTTTCTTTCCTTTTTTTTTTCTGGTTTTGGGCTTCCCCCCTTTTCCTTCTTTTCCCCCCCCCCCCCCCCTTTTTTTTTTTCCCCCCCCCCCTTTTTTTTTTAAAAAAAAAAACCCCCCCCTTTTTTAAACTCTCCCCCTTCCCCCTCCCCCCTTTTTTCCTCTTTTCCCCCTTTTTCCTCCCCTGGGTTTTCCCCGGGTTGGGGGGCCCCCCCCATTTTCTCCCCCCTCTTCTTCTCTCCTTCCCCTTTTTTTTCCTTCTCTCTCTCTCTCTCCTCTCTCCTTTTCCCCCCCTCTCCTGTCCTCTCTCCCCCCCTTTCCTTCCCCTCCTCCCCCCGGGGCTAACTTTTTTCGCAAATTCCGTTTCCCCCCCCCCCCCCCCCCCAAAAACCCCCAAAAAAATTTTCCCCTCCTTTTTGGCCCGAGGGCCAGCACCCAAAAGGCCGCAACGGGCGACCAAAAACCCCCCCCGCAACGGCCGGACAAACGACCACCCCCCAAAAACGCAAAACCCCCCCAAGACCCCCGAAAAACCACCCCCCCCGCCCCAAAAAAAACCCCGCCCGAAAGGCCCCCCAACAGACAGGGCCCCCGGGCCCCGGGGCCCCCCCCCCCCCCCCCCCCCACCCCCCCGGCAAAAGGGAAACTTTTTTTTTTTCAAGAGGTTTTAAAAAGGACACAGGACTTAGGGGGGGTTCCTTCTCAGGGGCAAAACTATTTTCAGACCCAAAGACGACAAAAGGGGCCCAAAAGGGGGGCCCAGGGAAAAACCACACACCGACAAGCACTTTTAAAGAAGGGGGAGGGGACAGGAAAAACCCCCCGGCCCCCCAACCCCAAACCCACACCGGAAGAAAACCCCCGGGCATTTGGAAAACGGCCCAAAAAACGGGGCCTCCCCCCACGGAAGCAACAAAACAAAACGGCCACCCAAAACCACCAAAACAATTACTGGGAGAGGAAGTTATTAAAATTTTTTTTAAGCCTTTTAAAATACAAATTTTGTTTTTAAAAAAGGTTTGTAGGGTACCTTCTCTTTAGTCGCTCGGAAAAATTTTTATCCCAAAAAAAAAAAAAATAACACCCAACATTTACTTTTTTTATGAAGGGCTAGGGAAACCCCCCCAAAAAAAAGGGAAAATCCCCTTTAAAAATGGGTTTTCCCGGGGCCTTTTTTTGCCGCGCCCGGATGGGCCAGTTTAAAACAACTCCCAAAATAATTTTATTTTGAGATTTAATCTTAAAAATTGATATAATTTTTAATGTTAACCCCTTGTTTTCCCCCTTTGGAATTAAAGAAAGTTTTTTTAAATTTTCCCCCCTTTTTAAACCAAAAAATTAAAATAAAATATTTTATTGTATTTTTAAGAGTCCCCCCCCCCCACTTTGGGAAACCTGGCCAAAAGAAAGATTTTTCCCCGGGGGTTTTTAAGACCCCTTAAAAAAATTTAAATTTTAGGGTTTCGGGGAATTAACCAAGCAAGTTTCCCCGAAGGACTCACAAATTTTCACCTGTGGGCTTCTGGGCAGTTTGGAAACTCTTACACACCGCACAAGTTTCACTTGTTTAATGAACTGGTTTTGGTCTAGGGACAGTTTGTCAACCCAACGGTTCCTCTTTTACACCCTGGTTATATACTCCAGTACACCTGGTATAGAAACTCCTTCATGGACCATTAGTAGAACAGGTCCATATTTAACGGTGGCTTCTGCTGCCCCCCACTGGATGGAGTCATTATTACATGGAGATTTACAACGTCGTCTCTTGTGGACAGACTACCTACCAAATTACCAACATTTATGTTCTGGGTTAACCGAGATGATGTCTATCCTAAACATTGAGTGGATTTACATGCCGTACTTGTAAGATCACACACATTTTGTTTCAATATAAGGAATATAGATGCAGGGATACTCTTCTCTGTAAACATTACATTTACATTTTAGTCATTTAGCAGACGCTCTTATCCAGAGCGACTTACAGGAGCAATTAGGGTTAAGTGCCTTGCTCAAGGGCACATCGACAGATTTTTCACCTGGTCGGCTCGGGGATTAGAACCAGCGACCTTTCGGTTACTGGCACAACGCTCTTAACCACTAAGCTACCTGGAAAGTCATGGAATGTTTCATGTGTCTGAGAGTGGGAAGTCTGTATAGGAAGTGCTTGAAGTAATGTTGTAATGTTGACAGTCAGGGATAATGTCTCTCCCATGTAGGACTTGATCGTAAAGATAATGTTGTGATAATATTTCCCCTCTAAGACCTGAGGCAATGGTAAAATAACAGTCAGTGTAATGTGATAATGTTGTAATGAGAATGCCCCCCCCCCCCTCTCTGTAGGACCTGATCCTGGACCAGACAATAGAGAAAGTATCGTTCTGCGCTCCGGACAGGAACTTTGAGAGAGCCTTCTCCTACATCTGTAGAGATGGAACTACTAGACGTTGGATCTGCCACTGCTTCATGGCTATCAAGGACTCGGTAAGACCCTACCCCCTAACCCCTAAACCCTAACCCCTAAACCCGACCCTAACCCCTAACCCCTAAACCCTAACCCCTAAACCCGACCCTAACCCCTAAACCCTAACTCTAAACCGTTACCCTAACCCCTAAACCCTAACCCCCTAAACCAGACCCTAACCCCTAACCCCTAAACCCTAACCCCTAAACCCGACCCTAAACCCTAACCCCTAAACCCGACCCTAAACCCTAACTCTAAACCGTTACCCTAACCCCTAAACCGTTACCCTAAACTGTTACCCTAACCCCTAAACCGTTACCCTAACCCGTTACCCTAACCCCTAAACCGTTACCCTAACCCCAAAACCGTTAGCCTAACCCCTAAACCAGACCCTGAACCGTTACCCTAACCCCTAAACCGTTACCCTAACCCCTAAACGTTACCCTAACCCTAACGGTACCCTAAACCGTTACCCTAACCCCTAAACCGTTACCCTTAAACCGTTACCCTAACCCCTAAACCGTTACCCTAACCCCAAAAACCGTTACCCATAAACCGTTACCCAACCCCTAAACCGTTACCTAACCCCTAAACCGTTACCCTAACCCCAAAACCGTTAGCCTAACCCCTAAACCAGACCTTGAACCGTTACCCTAACCCCTAAACCGTTACCCTAACCCCTAAACGTTACCCTAAACCGTTACCCTAACCCCTAAACCGTTACCCTAACCCCTAAACCGTTACCCTAAACCGTTACCCTAACCCCTAAACCGTTACCCTAAACCATTACCCTAACCCCTAAACCGTTACCCTAACCCCTAAACCGTTACCCTAAACCATTACCCTAACCCCTAAACCGTTAGCCTAACCCCAAAACCGTTACCCTAACCCCAAAACCGTTACTCTAACCCCTAAACCAGACCTTAACCCTAAACCGTTACCCTAACCCCTAAACCATACCTTAACCCCTAAACCGTTACTCTAAACCGTTACCCTAACCCTAAACCGTTACCCTAACCCCTAAACCATACCTTAACCCCTAAACCAGACCCTAACCCCTAAAATGTTACCCTAAACCATACCTTAACCCCTAAACCAGACCCTAACCCCTAAACCGTTACTCTAAACCGTTACCATAACCCATTACTCTAACACAAACCCAGCTGACATTCAGCTAGTTTACTAGTGAAATGATAAAGCCTCAGCATTGTGAATCATAAACTAAGATCACGCAAGGAGAGTCTCTTGTTTCAGAAAGCCAAGCAAGTTCACCTTCTTATGCCTCATGTCATGACTGAAGTGTGGAAAATTCCAAATTGTTTAGGTAGTCAACTTATACACAGCTCTGACACACACTTACCCCACCAGATATGCCACCAGGGGTCTTGTCACAGTCCCCAAATCCAGAACAAATTCAAGAAAGCGTACAGTATTATATAGAGCCATTATTGCTTGGAACTCCATTCCACCTCATATTGCTCAAATAAACAGCAAACCTGGTTTCAAAAAACAGATAAAGCACAACGCCTCTCCCCTATTTGACCTAGATCGTTTGTGTGTATGTATTGATATGTAGGCTACATGTGCTTTTTTTTTAATTGATGTTGTTCTGTCCTTGAGCTATTCTTGTCTATTAATGTTCTGTATTATGTCATGTTTCATGTTCTGTGTGGACCCCAGGAAGAGTAGCTGCTGTTTTCACAACAGCTAATGGGGATCCCTAATAGAATACCATTACTGAAGTGTTGTCTCAGGGAGAACAGCTGTCATTAACATGTTATTAATCTGTTATTAATGATAACGTCTGAGCCAGGCGGTGGGCTGTTATTGACAGCGTCTGAGCCAGGCGGTGGGCTGTTATTGACAGCGTCTGAGCCAGGCGGTGGGCTGTTATTGACAGCGTCTGAGCCAGGCGGTGGGCTGTTATTGACAGCGTCTGAGCCAGGCGGTGGGCTGTTATTGACAGCGTCTGAGCCAGGCGGTGGGCTGTTATTGACAGCGTCTGAGCCAGGCGGTGGGCTGTTATTGACAGCGTCTGAGCCAGGCGGTGGGCTGTTATTGACAGCGTCTGAGCCAGGCTGGTGGGCTGTTAGTTGACCGGCTTGAGCAGGCGGTGGGCTGTTATTGACAGCGTCTGAGCCAGGCGGTGGGCTGTAATTGACAGCGTCTGAGCCAGGCGGTGGGCTGTTATTGACAGCGTCTGAGCCAGGCGGTGGGCTGTTATTGACAGCGTCTGAGCCAGGCGGTGGGCTGTTATTGACAGCGTCTGAGCCAGGCGGGTGGGCTGTTATTGGACAGGCTTCTGAGCCAGGCGGTGGGCTGTTATGACAGCGTCTGAGCCAGGCGGTGGGGTGTTATTGACAGCGGTGCTTGGAGCCAGGCGGTGGGCTGTTATGACAAGCGTCTGAGCCAGGCGGTGGGTCTGTTTATTGACAGGTCTGAGCCAGGCGGTGGGCTGTTATTGACAGGTCTGAGCCAGGCGGTGGGCTGTTATTGACAGCGTCTGAGCCAGGCGGTGGCTGTTATTGACAGCGTCTGAGCCAGGCGGTGGGCTGTTATTGACAGCGTCTGAGCCACGCAGTGATTTATGTTCTGGGTTAACCGAGATGATGTCTATCCTAAACATTGAGTGGATTTACATGCCGTACTTGTGAGATCACACACATTTTGTTTCAATATAAGGAATATAGATGCAGGGATACTCTTCTCTGTAGTCATTTAGCAGACGCTCTTATCCAGAGCGACTTACAGGAGCAATTAGGGTTAAGTGCCTTGCTCAAGGGCACATCGACAGATTTTTCACCTGGTCGGCTCGGGGATTAGAACCAGCGACCTTTCGGTTACTGGCACAACGCTCTTAACCACTAAGCTACCTGGAAAGTCATGGAATGTTTCATGTGTCTGAGAGTGGGAAGTCTGTATAGGAAGTGCTTGAAGTAATGTTGTAATGTTGACAGTCAGGGATAATGTCTCTCCCATGTAGGACTTGATCGTAAAGATAATGTTGTGATAATATTTCCCCTCTAAGACCTGAGGCAATGCTAAAATAACAGTCAGTGTAACTCTGTTGTTGTTTTTATCGCACTGCTTTGCTTTATCTTGGCCAGGTCGCAGTTGTAAATGAGAACTTGTTCTCAACTGGCTTCTTACCTGGTTAAATAAAGGTAAAATAAAATTTAAACAAATAAAAAAATGTGATAATGTTGTAATGAGAATGTGGTGTTGTTAAGGGTGAGCGTCTGAGCCACGCGGTGGGCTGTGCCTTCGCTGCCTGTCTGGAGAGGAAACAGAAGAGAGAGAAGGAGTGTGGCGTCACGGCAACCTTCGACTCCAACAGAACCACCTTCACCAGGGAGGGCTCGTTCCGAGTTACCACGGCGACGGAAGCCGCAGAGCGAGAGGAGGCCATGAGGCAGTTACAGGACAGGAAAGGTGTGTGTTGTGTGTTCTTGTGGCTGTTCTTTACATGGTGTATCTGTCTAGTAGCCTACCATACCCTGATGTTTACCCTTTCCCACAGCGGAGGGCGATGTCAAGTCCTCCATCCCGCTCTCCTCAGGCCCCAGTGGGGGTGTGGTGAACCAGGCGGTTGCCCCTCTACCAGGGCCCCCGTCCCCCTCCTCTTCCCCCCCCCTGGGCATGGGAGGCACTCTGGGCCCACAGGTTATCCCCCGCAGACACGCCCCAGTGGAGGCCCTGGCAAGACAGGGTTCCTTCAGAGGGTTCCCAGCCCTCAACAACAACTCCTCTCCCTTCAAACGGCAGCTGTCCCTCAGGATAAATGAGCTGCCCTCTACCCTGCAGAGGAATTCTGACTTCCCCATGAAGAACACAGGTCAGTCTGAGTTCCCCATGAAGAACACAGGTCAGTCTGAGTTCCCCATGAAGAACACAGGTCAGTCTGAGTTCCCCATGAAGAACACAGGTCAGTCTGAGTTCCCCATGAAGAACACAGGTCAGTCTGAGTTCCCCATGAAGAACACAGGTCAGTCTGAGTTCCCCTTGTAGAACTCCGGTGCGGCGGTGGGTCACACACCTTTTGTACACTATTGTCATCAACTGTACCTCTGTCTCATTCACCTACAATAGCAGCCATCACTTTGTAACCATGTATGAAACAATCTTAGGCATCAGTGGCTTGCTATGTGAGCTTTGGTTTTTGTCCATAATGTTTCCGTCCAATACAAAACAGTATTGTCTATATGTTACAGTGAACAACAGAAATGTGTCTTCTGCTCCTTCCTTAGTGCCCCCCAGACATCACACACAATGGGTTTTTTGTGAGGATGCCTCACGGAACAGTTGGTTGAATGTATGAAAAATGTAGATGTCCTTTGTCTCATTCCTCCAGTCCCGGAGGTGGAGGGGGAGGGGGACAGCATCAGCTCGCTGTGTACCCAGATCACCTCAGCCTTCAGTGGGCCTCCTGAAGACCCCTTCTCCCAGGCCCCAATGCCCCGACCAGCCTCCTCCCCACAGTCACCTGTAGCGCCTCCAGGAGCTCAGCCAGGTAACTACACTCCAAACCTAGACAGCTGACACTCACAATAACACTTGTAGTGTGCGTGTCAGTTCACAAGTTCACATGCATTTTTCCAGGCCTGTCTCCCTGCATTTTGAGTAAAACATTATGAAGTGTGAATGAGACTTCAGTTTTTCATTTCATGCATGTTCATTCATTTTCTAATACTGCCATGTCTACATACAACAACATGCTGTCTGCACGTGTCCATCTCATACTACCATGTCTACATACAACAACAACATGCTGTCTGCACGTGTCCATCTCATACTACCATGTCTACATACAACAACAACAACATACTGTCTGCACTACTAGTAGTTTCTGTCTCTGTCTGCTTTAGTTAATGGTCCTGCCCTCCCTCCTGCCCTCCCTCCTTCCCTCCCTCCTGCCCTCCCTCCTTCCCTCCCTCCTGCACTCCCTCCTGCCCTCCCTCCTGCCCTCCCTCCCCTCCTGCCCTCCCTCCTGCCTTCCCTCCCTCCTGCCCTCCCTCCTGCCTTCCCTCCCTCCTGCCCTCCCTCCTGCCTTCCCTCCCTCCTGCCCTCCCTCCTGCCTTCCCTCCCTCCTGCCCTCCCTCCTGCCCTCCCTCCTGCCCTCCCTCCTGCCCACCCTCCTGCCTTCCCTCCTGCCCTCCCTCCTGCCCTCCCTCCTGCCTTCCCATCCTGCCCCTCCCTCCTGCCTTCCCTCCTGCCCTCCCTCCTGCCCTCCCTCCTGCCCTCCCTCCCTCCTGCCCCTCCCTCCTGCCCCCCCTCCTGCCCTCCCTCCCTCCTGCCCTCCCTCCTGCTGTGTCTAACCCTCCAGCACCGCCCCCCTCCACTGCCTGCCCGAGACACTAACCCCTGGGCCAAGACCCCTGGCCATGCAGGGCACCATAGCCCCCTGACCTCTTCCTCAGCACGCCCAGGTAAGGAGCATTGAAATAGATTTAGAAGCCTCAGGCCCCTTGGTGTTTGAGGCTACTAGTGTGGTTGTTCTGTTTCTATGGACTGGGACACCAGACCAGAACACAGACAGACAGGCTGGTTGTTCTGTTTCTATGGACTGGGACACCAGACCAGAACACAGACAGACAGGCTGGTTGTTCTGTTTCTATGGACTGGGACACCAGACCAGAACACAGACAGACAGGCTGGTTGTTCTGTTTCTATGGACTGGGACACCAGACCAGAACACAGACAGACAGGCTGGTTGTTCTGTTTCTATGGACTGGGACACCAGACCAGAACACAGACAGACAGGCTGGTTGTTCTGTTTCTATGGACTGGGACACCAGACCAGAACACAGACAGGCTGGTTGTTCTGTTTCTATGGACTGGGACACCAGACCAGAACACACAGGCTGGTTGTTCTGTTTCTATGGACTGGGACACCAGACCAGAACACAGACAGACAGGCTGGTTGTTCTGTTTCTATGGACTGGGACACCAGACCAGAACACAGACAGACAGGCTGGTTGTTCTGTTTCTATGGACTGGGACACCAGACCAGAACACAGACAGACAGGCTGGTTGTTCTGTTTCTATGAACTGGGACACCAGACCAGAACACAGACAGACAGGCTGGTTGTTCTGTTTCTATGGACTGGGGACACCAGACCAGAACACAGACAGGCTGGTTGTTCTGTTTCTATGGACTGGGACACCAGACCAGAACACAGACAGACAGGCTGGTTGTTCTGTTTCTATGGACTGGGACACCAGACCAGAACACAGACAGACAGGCTGGTTGTTCTGTTACTATGGACTGGGACACCAGACCAGAACACAGACAGGCTGGTTGTTCTGTTTCTATGGACTGGGACACCAGACCAGAACACAGACAGACAGGCTGGTTGTTCTGTTTCTATGGACTGGGACACCAGACCAGAACACAGACAGGCTGGTTGTTCTGTTTCTATGGACTGGGACACCAGACCAGAACACAGACAGACAGGCTGGTTGTTCTGTTTCTATGAACTGGGACACCAGACCAGAACACAGACAGACAGGCTGGTTGTTCTGTTTCTATGGACTGGGACACCAGACCAGAACACAGACAGGCTGGTTGTTCTGTTTCTATGGACTGGGACACCAGACCAGAACACAGACAGGCTGGTTGTTCTGTTTCTATGGACTGGGACACCAGACCAGAACACAGACAGACAGGATGGTTGTTCTGTTTCTATGGACTGGGACACCAGACCAGAACACAGACAGGCTGGTTGTTCTGTTTCTATGGACTGGGACACCAGACCAGAACACAGACAGACAGGATGGTTGTTCTGTTTCTATGGACTGGGACACCAGACCAGAACACAGACAGGCTGGTTCATAGCAAAGGGGGTGAATACATATGCACGCACCACTTTTCCGTTATTTATTTTTTTTAACAAGTAATTTTTTTCATTTCACTTCACCAATTTGGACTATTTTGTGTATGTCCATTACATGAAATCCAAATAAAAATCCATTTAAATGACAGGTTGTAATGCAACAAAATAGGAAAAACGCCAAGGGGGATGAATACTTTTGCAAGGCACTGTATAATTATACTCATTTTAAGATGTTTTCAGGTACAATTCAATTATCATTAATTACTCCGAAACGTCTATTAAACATTCTATGATATTTTCTCTACCAGGAGGTGATTGGACAACCCCAGTGATTGTAGCGCCTCCCTCCGCCACATCATCTCCGTCTCACCACTCCCACCGCCGCACGCCGTCGGAGGCTGACCGCTGGCTCGAGGAGGTCACCAAGTCTGTCCGCGCTCCGCAACCCGGGTCCACACCGCCCTCCCAACCTTTCCTCACCCCCAACCCCCCAGCCTTCTCTACGGCCCCAACCCAGGCTTTCATTGTCCCCATGCCTTCCACCCAGGCCTTCCCTGCCACGCTACCCCCTAACCAGCCCTTCTCCACGCCCCCAACCCAGGCGTTTTCTGTACCCACGCCCCCAACCCAGGCGTTTGCTGTACCCACCCCCCCAACCCAGGCGGTTGCCCCTGTGGCCTTCATGTCCTCCCTGTCTCCCGTGATGCCCATGCTGCCCCCTCGCCAGCTGGCCTACCACGCCCAGACCCCAGCCTCCTACCCCATGTCCAACGGGCTACCCTATGCCCATCCCAGTGTGCCCATGGTGGGCATCACACCCTCTCAGATGGTGGCCAATGTGTTTGGTTCAGCCACCCAGCCCCAGGCGTACCCCACCCCCCGGTATGACCCTGCTCAGCACGCTGTGTGTATCCCGTTCAGCAACCCCCACCAGCAGCCCCTTCACTTCCAGGCACCCAATGGGAGTGTAGCCTTCAACGGGGGTGGGGCCGACAGCTGGGCCCCTCCATCCCTGCCCCCTCCGTCCTCCCCGGCCCCTCCCCTGCCCCCCCAGCCCTCCCCGGCCCCTCCCCTGCCCCCCCAGCCCCTGGCGACAGCAGACCCCTTCGAGGCCAAGTGGGCCGCCCTGGAGAGCCGCTCCCGCCAGCACACCACGCCATCGCCCACTAACCCCTTCTCCTCCGAGCTGCATAAGACCTTTGAAATCCAGCTCTAGAGACCGAGAAGCTGGGAGGAGGAGGAGAAGGAGAAGGAGGTGGAGGTGGAGGAGGAGGGGATGGGGAGAGGAGAGTATTCTGGTGAATGTGCAGGTTGGTGAGAGACGGAAGAGGAGCAGACTAGCCTCTCTCTCTGTCTCTACATCCGCCTGGACTGGCTTAGTGGAGGACCTGAGGGGAGAGGAGGAGGAGGAGGAGGAGGAGGAGAGAAGGAGATGGATGGGTGGGTGGAGCTATCGGCAGGGATGAAGGATGGAAGCAGTGAGATGAGATGGAGGTATCAAGGTGCTGCTGCTTACCAGACATTTAATTTCTTTGTGGGTTTAGTTGTGTTGTTGCTTTGGATGACATGGAAGTGGACATGATGACCCTGTGGAGTAGTGGATCTAAGACCACCAGCCCCCAGCCCCAACACCAGCCCCCAGCCCCCAGCCCTCAGCCCCCAGCCCCCAGCCCTCCCAGCTCTGGAAACTCAAACGACTGTACCAGGGGTTGCTGCTCCTGCCCCTTCCGCCCCCTCCTGGTCCAGCTCACAGCGCCCCCTGGTGGCTGGAGTATGATTACCTCTCCCGGCCACCTGGCAGGCAGAAGGACTGCAGCACTGAAAGAGAACTGAGCTTCCAGACCAGAGATTCTCATCTAAAACTTCAAAATCAGAAGAAGTGAGAGAATGCCAAAATCTTTATTTTTATGCATTAAGGTATATTTTAAATAGCTTTGGAAATCTAACAGAAAAGTTGTAAGTAATGTTTGCCAAAGGCACAGAGCCTAGCTAGCTATAATGAGAATGAGTGGATGTGCAACGTGTATACGAGAAATTATCATATATTATAAATAAAATCTATATCTATTATATAATAGAGTACACAGCAACACAGCTCACAGCAGCTGTGTTGATTTCTGATTTCTATAATGACGTAGAGAGAATGCGTTTGTTGAAGGGACAGCTGTTTTATTTTGTATTTTGAATGAATTCTGTCTTATTGCCGTTTGTTTGTTTTCATCCTGTGATTGGATGTGCATCTCACTGTAAATAGTAAATCATCATTGCAGCAACAATCAATGTGGAGCCAGCGGCCAGCAGCGGTGGTGGTGTTAGTAAGGGGTGTATTCACTAGGAACCTAACGGGGAGGGACCTACTTGAATTTTCTAATAGAAACTCTCGTTTTCGTTGCAAAACATTTTTCCATTTGGAGTCGACGGTTTCCATTGCAAAACATTTTGCTACGGCGTGCGACTAATGAATACACCCCAGGTTGCCTCTGCTACCACTGCTCTGCTCTCTCAAGTCTCCTTAATACGATAGTACTAGTCTAGTAGTCGATAGTACTAGTCTAGTAGTCGATAGTACTAGTCTAGTAGTCGATAGTGCTTAACTACATTTGACTTCCATCTTCATTGTCATTCGTTCATTTTTGTGGTAATGTTCGTTCTTTGTTTTTTTTTTGGTATTTTAACACTATGGACAGTGTCATCTCCCAATTTTATTTCTCCTTCAATTTTATTATTTTTCAATGAAAATGATTGATTTCCCATATTATTTGCACAAGCACTATAGTACAGTAGTTCATCATTTGGCCACGCTAGTGAATTATGGTTATCAGTTCATGGCTGTGGGTAATGTATGGATTGGGTCAGTTATGGTTTTTGCTAACCGTAACTGATATTTGTGGATGGGGTTAGCAAAATTCCAGTAACTATTCCAAAATTCCCAGGATTTCTGGAAAACCTGGGAATTTTGGTAGAGTTTGCAGAAATGTGTCAGAAGGACAGGGTGTCCTGACCTCTAATCTAACTGTGGTCCTGACAGTGAGTCCAGCTTTTCGCAGTGGAAAGAGACAGAGATTGATCTGTTTGTGTGTCTCTTTCTCTGGGTTGTGTCCCAAATTATTACACTATTCCCTATATAGTGCACTACTTTTGACCAGGAGTGTATATATATAAAGTAGTGCACTATATAGGGAATAGGGTGCCATTTGGGATGCACTCTGTGTCTATCACTCTGGTCTGACATACTTGTTTTATCAAGCCTGTGATCTGATCTGTTCTCTGATCTAGTTTGAATTATTTTCCATTTTGTAATTATTTCATTACTTTATTCCACTTCTTTCCAGAACAATTTAAGCTAAAAATATGGAATAAATTGATGGTGGTAGAGGGAAAAACAAGCTTCTGGGTGTTTCTTTACGTATTCACCATATCTTTCTTTGACTGCTACTACTGATGTCCATATATTAAAGAAAGCAACTTTACCTGCTAAAACTTCAACATCTGCACACTGCAATATTGAGTCAAGAGGCCACGAGATTAAACAGATATTCTTAATAGGAACTTTTTTTCAGAAGTTAATTAAACGTCTGCATGAAACGTGAAATACTGTAAGTAATCAATTGGAAATTGCAATGCAGTCATATTTCTCTGACTTCCTAGTCAAGTTTATGCAATGCAGGTAATTGTTAGATTTTTTTTAAACCTCCCGCTTTGGGCTGGATGTGTCAGTGTAGTTCATATAATATAATAATAATATGCCATTTAGCAGACGCTTTTATCCAAAGCGACTTACAGTCATGTGTGCATGTGTAACCGGTGTGAAATGGCTAGCTAGTTAGCGGTGCGCTAGTAGCGTTTCAATCGGTGACGTCACTCGCTCTGGGACCTTGAAGTAGTTGTTTCTTCCTCTGCAAGGGCCGCGGCTTTTGTGGAGCGACGGGTAACGGTGCTTCGAGGGTGACTATTGTCGATGTGTGCAGAGGGTCCCTGGTTCAAGCCCAGGTAGGGGCAAGGAGAGGGATGGAACCAACACTGTTACACATACATTTTTACGTATGGGTGGTCCCGGCGATCGAACCCACTACCCTGGCGTTACAAGCGCCATGCTCTACCAATTGAGCTACAGAGGACCACATACATGCATAATCTATGAGCAGAATTACTGTTTGACCTAAATTAACCATGAAATCCCTAGTTTGAAAATGGACTATTTTCTGGAAGCTGTGCAGCTTCATTTTCGTACATTTTTGACACGTGGGCCAGCCCCTCCTAGCAATTCGAGGTCCAGCCAATGAGCTTCAGCCCCTAGCCATTTGAGTGACAGCTAGCATTAGCAAGACGCACACACAGCAGAGAGAGAGAGCGCGATGATGTCCTGCACACATACGAGGCAGTACACCATTTTCATGGGACCCGTTTGGGCTCTTGAATGCTACTTTCAGAAAGCTGGAAAATCTCGTAAGATAAGTATTATTAATTCTCTCACCTCTGACAGCATGGGGGCGCTATCATGACAACGTCCCCTAGTCTACCACAGAGAGGAAGATGCGAGAGGGATGAATGGAAAACCTAAATCTGGCGTCTCCAGCAGGTGGCGTTTTTTCGCTCATCAAGCAAAGGAGTTTTTGTATGGAGGTCAATGAGATTGTCGAATTTGGTTAACAAAAAAATGTAATGACTTATTTTCTACGTGTGGCTCTTTTGATCGAATATACATTTCTTAATTATTAGGTTGTTATGCATGTACTGATATAAGTATGATTCGTGACAAGTAGGACAACTTTGAGGCAAAAATACTTTATATTGGAGTTGTGCCTGGTCACTAGTTACCACATCCACAACGTCAGAAATTTCTCCAATTTATCTTCTTAAAATGTGATTTTAAACCTTCACATACTGATAACCTTATGCCTAACCTTAAATGAAAACCAAAAAGCAACTTTTAGTTTTCATCCATTTTTACGATAGACTATTGTCTTTGTGGCTGTGGTAACTAGTGGAAACCGTGCCTGTTGTTCACACGCGTGTCTGCCCTCTCATGAGCTAGAATGGTTTCACCTGATCTTGCCTCCTCCCGACTGCGTTATATATATATATTTGAAGACATTTATTTTAATTGTTAGAGCGGCCACTAGAGTATCTGGTTAAAGTAATGGATCACCTGGCTCCATCATGATAAACAGAGCCGTTAGAAGAACAGCAACATACTAGAAACCAGTGGACATGTGCAGGATGCCAGCGGTGCGTTATGGTGTGGAAGTGAAACGCCAAAGTAGGTAAGTTGAAATAAGCAAGCAGCAATTGCAAAATGTCTAAGTCGCTCTGGATAAGAGCGTCTGCTAAATGATGTAAATGTCATCCAGAGAAGGACGCTGAAGTTGGTTACTGACTTAGCTAGGTTTGCTAGCTTGCTAGTAAATTAGCTTACCAAGCTAACGTTATAATTGTGGAAACCATATTAGCTGACTGACCCTCAACACCAATGTCGGCACACTTCACTATCTAGCGGCGTCAGTCGTCCACTACTCTGAAACATCCTGATATCATTTAGTAACGCTTATCTGTTAACTGTTAGTCAAACATGTCAAGCAACCTAGCTAACTAAGTTAGCTGCACCTGTAAGCAATGGCCGTGAATTACACAACGCTGTCTCCGCTATCATATGCCCAGCTGTTGGCGCTCCAGTGTCGGATTCACACAAAAAAAACATTCAACGTCAAGAGGAATTTCCATATTCTCTAGAAACACTAACCAGTCGCTGGGTAGAATGTGTCACTTGCTATCAAATAAGCATTAAAAACAGAGAAGGCTGTAATTGCGGCCTGCAATTCGGGGCGTTCGTGCATCTAAAGGAACCCCCCTTTATACGTCTATTGGTTAATGTTTAAACTAGGAGAGGCGGGGTGCGCCAGAACAGTAGGTGATGTTATTGTACAATAAAGTTGGATGACCGCCACAGATAAACCCCACATAAGGGGCCGGGGGCTACAACGGTAGCTAACTAGCCGTACACGGTAGGAGGTGTCCTTCGTCCCCGCCCGTCGGGCGCTGTTTCCACTCAGTTCCGTTAACGGCGGTGAGGGCAGGCAGGGAGCGTCGGGCGCTGTTTCCCCTCAGTTCCGTTAACGGCGGTGAGGGCAGGCAGGGAGCGAAGGGCGCTGTTTCCCCTCAGTTCCGTTAACGGCGGTGAGGGCAGGCAGGGAGCGAAGGGCGCTGTTTCCCCTCAGT